ACATACAAACAAAAAAGATCCGATCAAAAATCTTTTCGTAGGCCCCTTTAGTTTTTGGAGACCCTGAGCACAGTGCCTACCGTGCCTGTTGGCTAAAACGGCCCTGAGCTCCCCCCCCCCCCCGTCTCGCCACCAATGAAACCGTGACGATGGTGGAGACGACAGAACCCTGGCAGCAGAAACAGCAGCAGGGAGCCGCGTGAGGGGGCCCCGGTGGGGATTCCCCGGTGCACCGAGCGAGCTGCACGCTGCAGTGCAGAACCGCATGTTACCCATCCCACGCTCGGCTCCGCTCTCCACTCTCCCCACTCAGCGGTGGATCCGAGGAGGGGGGTTGGGGAGGGGGAAATCGCCCTCCGCTTCCCTCCACCTTGAGGTCCCAAAACAATTGAATCGAACTCAGATCGCCGGTGTCGTAGTGCAGTCGCGTGCTCAGCACCGCACTCACCACTCCAAACCTGCTAAATTCATAATGTGCATTAATTGTAGAATTAAAAGTTAAATTAGAACGAAAACTCCGCGTTTCCACGAGGAGGGAATTTAATATTTTTCGCCGAATTGCAGCAGAGCCCTCTAGTGATTGACACACGTGTGGCGCGTGCCAATCGACCCAGAGATGTTCTTTTTACAAACTCAATACAGAGAACATTATTATACGTGTTTCTTATGACCTGCTAAATGTGTATCAGTGTTAATAATAATCCACACTTTCCATAATGCACATAATTAGGAAAATTACCTCCCCCCCCCACACACCCATAAGTAAGCTGAGTGGATACACACTAAATGACCGTTTACAATGTACGTGTGCGTGTTGAACTTCTTTCACACCGTATGCAGCTAACCATGCTCATCGGAGGTGCAGGGGAAGGACAACAAACACGAAACACAAAACTCAATCGGGTGTCACTCAATCGGGCGGCATTACAATATTTAAATGATTGTCCCCGTCACCTCATGTAATCGTTTTTTATGGTAATTGCAAAAATGTGAATGAATCTAATTCTGTCACACCAAACCCTAAGGTACACTGTCATGGACATACAGCGTACAGACCAGGAATATGCAGCGCAGATTAAATACAGCTCACAGCATCGCTGCTGAATTGTGGAATTCTAAGAGTAGAATATGATACAACACGATTTGCATTTAAGCTTTCAGACGCAATAATAAACTAATGACCCGAGTATTTACTTGAGCAAGCAAATACCAACGTGATAGAAGGGATATATAATGAATGTCATGTGACCTCAGAGATGTAGAATGATCAAAGAATCATTTCTGACATCAAATATGCTCGTGGCAATTGCATTTAAACATGATTATCATTAAATTCATTACAGCAGGATTACAGAAAGGAATGTCAGGTTATCTTATTAATGTAAAAGTGAGTCAGAACAGCGATAACGCAGTTCTAGTGACCTGTACGAGCAGCAGAAAATCAGTGTTTTCATTAAACCAACATGTTAATGTTTGCTCTTTTTACATGAATATATTGAGGGTAATCCTTTAAACTTCCATGATGAAACGAAAATATAGTGAATAATTTAAACTGCCCTAGAGCAATTTACATGGACAGGGCAAAGCAGCAGGGGCAGCCAAGCGGCTTGTACTGCCGCAGACACCGTAGCAGTGACATGCGCAGGTGTGTGGTGGTGGTGGTGGACCCAGTGGTGCGTCCAGAGGGAATGGAACCGTCCAGTAACATCATCGAACCCTTCATACGGAAGGAGGACTCGGTGAGGGAAGTCTATGGAAACAGTAACCATGGTAGTGACGACTAGTTTGAGAAAAGAGATGACGGTGGGAGGAGGAGGGATTGCAAAGTGGAGCAGTGCGAGGAGAGAAGCAGAGAGAAGTGAGGTAACCTGCAGTGTGGTGAGTGAGTGGGTGAGTGGTTGGGTGAGTGATTGGGTGTGTCATGTGACCTGCAGTGTGGTGAGTGGATGGGTGAGTGAGTGGGCGTTTTTTTGGTGGGAGGGGGGCGGGCTTCCGTCTGGGCCCCCCTTTCAGGGGGAACAGGCCCGGATGCATGTCAAATATCAACGCATAACTCAGGGCCCTTTCAGTTGACGTGTGGCTTCTCATTCATGGCACGTGTCACGAGGGCTGGTTAGCGGCGGGAGCGTGGGATTGGCCCAGTCCCTGCGCGAGAGGAGCCAATTCTTCAGGCCCTTTGGCGCTGTGAGATTCTGCTCCACAATGCCCCCCCCCACCCCTGTGGGGGGGTGGGGGGGGGCGATGAAGCACTACAGCGGTGGTGGCGGCGACGGCGGTGGCGGTGAGAGTGTGGGAGGCGCCCGTGGGTGGGTGTTATGCGCGAATATTGATCACGCCGCTGTCGTTAACGCGGTTTCCTTTCCACGCGCAAACCAACCTCCCCTGGATTGTCACACGCGGAAATTAGCGGGCTGGAGTGAAGGATATTCGTGTCGGGCTTCACGAGATAAACATCTCCGAGTCTGTGGACATTTTTAAATGCGTCTGAAAATCTATTTATATGCTTCCGCTTATTAAAGTTTTTTAATATATTTGTAATAGAATATATCATAATTTTTATGCCGAGTGGCTGCTGCTGTGTCCTGTACAGCGCTTTGAGATCCTTGATGAAAGCGCGATATACATGGAATGATTATTATTTGCTTCTTGGAAACTTCTACGTTGCTGTTGAAGTGTTACATATTTGCTATGTCCGTTGTCGCTGTTCGTTTCAGAGCGATGCGCTTATTTGTTAACGTTCTTCCAAGAGTCCAGCCTTAAACAAAATAGGTCATCGAATTCTCGTCTGCCCTCGGGAATCATCCTTGCCTCCATTACATATAACGACTTTGCATTAAAATGCCATTTGTGAAGAAATATATCCCATGGAACACGTGGAATGGATAACCCTTAAAAAACTGTGTTGTCATCCAAATTAACACAACATCAGTTCTCGTTGCTGCTGCAAACAATGAATATTGACTCGACCATCTCCCGCCTCTGGAGAGGCTAACAAACTCAATTAGTTGGTGCAAGAGTAAAGAGGGGCAAGTGACGACATCTCGTGTGCGCCACCAACTCCACCAGAGTGGCGAGCGGGTCCTTCCTACTCTGCACGCGCGCATTAAGCCTCCGCCCCAGAGGGAAGCCAGTCTGTGGTGGAAATTCCATATGCCTCTGGCGGGGGCGAGTCTGTCCATCGGACAGCCCACCACTGTTGACCTCCCTTTCCTCCAACTCCCTAAAAGTGGTGCTCGTTATATTCACCGCGGGAGGGATGATGGGGCCGAGTCAACCACCCCCAACCAGGGTTTGAACTCGCAACCCTTCTGACTGGGGCGGCGCTCGCGCAATCGCTGAGCCACGCACACACACAAGTCAGCATTTATTTAAAATGCAAAGTATTTAACCAAATGGAATCACGACATATGTTTCCATCCAATTAATCGTTATTAATATCCCAAGTGTTCATCGGATGCATGAAAGCAAATTGATGCGTGGATTTGCTTTCCTGCATCTGGGCGCCTGATCTGCCAATACACGCAGCCTCCGCTCGCTGCTGCTGCAGCTTATAATAATATCTTTCTCTATGAACAACACCTTCACGCGATTAAATATTGTATGACTTTTTCCAGCAAAAAAATCATAACTTTACAATTTAACACATTGTAAATTGTGTGGGTTTACTCCCCAACACACAAGCGGGTGTACTGTCCTAACGACTTGGCACAATTTGTTTACGTGACAAACCCCTTACTAATTGCCTGTGTGTCGGGTGGTGGCCGGTTTAACGACATTTATATTTACGCGATCTAACCCCAACACCTCTCTAATAGTTAATTTTACAATTGTTCGCGCAATTTTATCTAACCGTTCATTTCTCTTTTTGCGCTTAAGCGCATCGCAGCAACACATTAAAACCGCGGTTGCAACGAGGTGACTTGAGGTTTCAAGAAGAACTTGCGCAATGCAATTGCAGACAGAGAGATGGTGGTGGAATGCCACGTCTGTGTTTACTCCGTGGGTAGCGGCGGTGCAGCGGTTAGCGCTGCGCTACGAACCCAGCGACCCGAGTTCGATTCCCGCTCACGGCCACCAACACCGGTAACGATTAAAGATCTGAACCGGTCGCGAGCCTCCCCCTAGGTCGACTCGGCCTCAAATGGGTGCCTGGTGCGGTGCGTAAACATCGCCACGAGGGAGACAAAGGCGCAGGGTGCGGTGTTGGCCAACCACTGCCGTGCCGGCCTTCATAGGTGCTACTCGCTTACAGCACTTGCCCCAACAGTCTGTTAAGGCTACACGGGGAGATGTTTGTCTTTGTTGTTTACTATATACAGGGTTAATTTTGATAGAGCGAGTATCTCAAGAGGGAGTAACACACTACTTTATACGAGGTACGCGACGCATACCGGTCCTTTGGACGCAACCGATGTTACACCGCGAAAGTTATTCCTAAGTAAATTAGTGCAACACGAGACGGCGTTTAAGTTTGGTGCAGTAAACAACAGAAACCCGCAGAGAGTGAATGAATAACTGTGGAAGAGGGAGCATTGATTCATGCGCGATACGGTCATACGCTTAGTTGCCAGCAAAAATGCGCGACTGTAAACTTGCAAAGAGACACACAGCGGCCATCAACCGCAAACCCACAGTTGTCAACCCGTACGGGTTACCCAGTATTCTTGTACAGGGAATTTGAGTGTTTAGGTCCATACGGCGTACAGCCGTTTCAATACGGGCAACACCCCCCCCCCCCCCCGTAATTTGTGGTCTATTTGTTTGTGTTTCTCCCTTGCGATGGGACTTTGTAGGATGAACGCTGAGATTTATAAGGGGCACGGAGTGACCAATGAGGTCTGAATTTGTCTACAATAAGGTAGGGCACTGACAAGGCGTTGACAGCTCTGCAAACCGCAAGCCAAAACCGCTGGCGGCTGTGGGCATCGCCAGTGTCGCTCGGAAACAAGTCGCGAGCAACTCTCCGTTCTCGAGTCGCAGCGAGTCGCAGCGACTCTTACCTGAAGCGAGAGTCGCGGGGCCGGCGAGCAGAAGCAGCGGCAGCAGCAGCGGCGGCAGCAGCAGCAGCAGCGACGGCGGCTGCGACTCCGAGCCCGGCTCCATGGTTCCTTAGGCGAGTGCGGGCATGGCGCGACTCGCGAGCGCGCAGTCGAGAGAGAGGAGGCGGCGGTGGCGGCTCGGAGCGAGTGCGGGGAGTCAGCGCTCGGGTGGGGGGCGGGGCTGCTGCATCACCCCCCCCCCACACTCTGCGTGTGAAGCAGCGAACGGAGGAGCGCGCAGACCCCCGCCCGCGCCCGGGCAGCGCAATCAGAGAAGAGAGATAGCGCCCCCACCCAGCCCCGCCCCTCACCACAAGAGCAGGGGCGGGGGGGGGCTCCCCCGCCCTCCTGCTCCTGGGGCTGCGATCTCACGCGGCACGGATCGTCGGGCACGGGGGGGGGGGCGCAGTCGTTAGCGCGCTGCGATAAACCAGAGTTCGATTCCCGACCACGGCAAAGGTGATGGACCTGAATACTCTCCTGCCGCCCTCCCTCCCCCAAAAAGACAAAGATCCCCCATGTAGCCTGTAACAGACTGTTAGGGCAAGTGCTGTTAGCGAGTACCATCTATGAAGGCTAGCACCACGCCTGGCCGCCTTTGTCTCCCTAGTGGCGATCCTTTAACGCACCGCGCCAGGTAATAATTTGAGGCTGCGTCGACCTAGGGGAGGCTCAGAACCGGTTCTAATAATCGTCACTTCGTGTTGGCCGTGAGCGGGAATCGAACTCGGGTCGCTGGGCTCGTAGTGCAGCGCAGCGCTAACCACCACACTACCCCCATCCCTCCTCCACTCTCATCACCCACACTGACCAGCGTGGTGAAGTATGGTCAAACGACCCGAATGCCTGAGACAGCGTTGAGAGGCTTTCACGCGGCAGTGCATTGAGACGGGGCTGCGGCGTGGGGAGGAATGGCTGCGTGTAAGGCTCGCCGTGCGTGGAGGGTCGTGGTCATTGAGCGCATCTCGTCTCTGGCCCCGTGTCACATTAATCCATCTTTTGTTTAAGTGACCCCAATCGTTTGCGATGTTGTCGCCCTTCCCAAACATTCCTAAACAGCTCGCCTAAGTTTTATTCCCACCCACGGCTGATATTGGACATCTGTGAAACATTGGACGTATTGATGAAAAAAATAACTTTATAGCTCATCGGATTCCCCCACTATAAAACACATTCCTGCGGAGGCAGCTGGTCGGAACGTTGTGGTGCTCGGTCAATGGCCAGGGTCAATGGCGGCGTGGTGTATTCCGCAAATATGCCCGACTGTGAGGGCGGGCACAAGCCGGCGTGAGTAGGTTAAACGTTGAGTTTTATAAGGGCACCACGGGGTGACCAGCCCCTCCCCACCCAACCCCACCCCTCCCACCCCCCACCCAGCCCCTCCCACCCCCCACCCAGCCCCACCCTCCCCACCCAGCCCCTCCCCACCCTCCCCACCCAGCCCCTCCCCACCCAGCCCCACCCAGCCCCTCCCCACCCTCCCCTCTCCACCCAGCCCCTCCCCACCCAGCCCCTCCCCACCCTCCCCTCCCCACCCAGCCCCTCCCCACCCAGCCCCTCCCCACCCTCCCCTCTCCACCCAGCCCCATCCCTCCCATTTTTGGATGCACGACGGACGGACACAATAATCCCCTGTGGGCTGGTGGTGTAACCAGGCGGTTCCTACCAGTAATATTCTGATTCTGGATACCAGCCTCACCCACCCTCACGGATCAACAAGGGGCCGTCTATAAATGACGTCACACACCTAGGGGGGGGGGAGGTCAGACATTTGTGACGATAATTCAGGATTTGAAGCTTTCGTGACTGCACGGATTCTCTTTGGGTTTTTCGGTAAAGTCGCGTAGGTAAAATAAATGAAAATTGCTGTATCAAGATACAGCAATATTGCTGCATCAAGATACAGCAATTTTCCTGTGACGGTTTCCACCTGAAGACGGAAGCTTGTGTTGCCTCTGAAACGTCATGATTTAATTTAGTTGTTTCCATTTATTTTACCTACGTGACTTTACAAAAAAAAAACAAAGAGTATTTGTGACGATGTCTGACGAGGGGGGTTTGAGAAATGTGACGTCACATCAAAATGCGCAACTTTAAATAAATATAAACACGTTCTACTTAATTAAAGACTTTTTTTTTATAAATGTTTTCTCCTGCAACATCAGAGTGCAGCGCCACATTAAATACGCACGACAATGACAATAGTTTAAAGTGATTTGAAGCAAGTTTTATTTTCAAAACGGAAATATGGTTTGGGGGGGGGGGCGTCATATTTGAGGGGGGTCTGACTTTTTGTGATGGCGTGTGATGGGGGGGGGTAAAAAAATCGGCCAAAATCGCGTGGCGTCATTTATGGACGGCCCCCAACTACCTTGGCCACCGGAACTCGAGGAATTCCTATCTGTACTCAGCCATAATATAGCATGGGATTATTTTAAAGTTATACTGTCTTATGAATGCAGACCTTCAAATTCAGATTATTTGTTCGTTGCAAACAGTTATTGACACAAGCGTGAGGAATAATTCATTCGTGCGGATTTTCGGATCGCGTTCCCCGAGTCCATCGTGAATGCGTGCGTTGGGCCATGATAAGACCACGGGGCTCCCATAGCGGCTCTGCCCGGGGACGACTCGCCTCGGCCGGCAGGGCCGGGATGCTGAGGGGGCTCGTCTTAAGGTTGCGAGTTATTCGTAACCTTTGATCAATTTGGTCACTTTAACAAAGACATAAATCAACCCCAAAGGAAAAGAAGCCAATCTAACCTCATGATGAACACACCAAGCGAACGATGGCAAAAGAATAACTGAGTCGCCTTCCGCTGAATTTAAACCCGAAGTCCTCCAAAGCCCACGCTTCAAATCTGCCCGACCCGTGAATTGGGAGCGCAAAGCCATATGAACCTTAGGACGGGACCCCGGGGTCCCATAAGCCCCATGCTCTCGCATACACGTATAATGTAAACAAAACTTTGCGATTTTTCACCAATGGGTTTGAAGGATGGTGGCAAATGTCTTGTTAAACTATGCCTTTAAAACTGAAAACTACTTACCTGCAGTACCTCTGTTGCGGCACAATCCACGACTCCGAAGCAGGTTGCGGTTAGGGGCTCACGCCACGTTTATTAAGGGCTTACGCCATAGTGTGTTAGGGGCTTACGCCAACCCACCCCCCTAGCCGATAACGCCCCAGAGGACAGGGTACCAGGATCCCTACAACCCCAGCTAACTCCCCAGGGGACAGGGTACCAGGATCCCTACAACCCCGGCTAACTCAGCTCTCCTCCTTGCCCCGGGCTGGGACTACCCCAACCTCGGCCGGTCGGGCGGAGTAGTCTCCCCTAGCCTCGGGTGAGGATCAGCTCCCCTGAGTCCCCACTCCTAACCCCGACGACCCCCTGTTACATCTCGGGTCCCCCTTTAAATAACCCCCTGGTACATGACGTCACCGTACCCCCCAGGGTCCGCCTGACGTCACGTTCTGCGACGCCACTCTCTCCGAGGGCGAGCGTGACGTGACGTCACCCACTACACCCCTACACCTCTTGAAATACTTACCTGGGGGCCGCTGGAGGTAGAGTCTGGGTGAGGCTGGGCTGCATCAAGTATTCCAAAAAAAAGTACAACTGATCCAATATTATTCTTGGTTCTTTCGGTAAAGTCACGTTGAAGGGAAACAATAAAATCATATATTTTAATATATTTTATTATTTTATTGTTTCCCTTCAACGTAACTTTAACGAAAGAACCAATAATATGAATCACTGCAGTCACGAAAGCTTTAAATCAAAATTTGATCCAATCTTCTCAATCTTTATTAATAACAGTTCAGAACATGAACGGTTCTTTAGAACATAGGCTTCTCTTACCTACTCCTTGCTGCCAGACACCTGGCAGCGCTTCCTCTTCTTACACAGCTGAGCCACATTTGGCTTGAGGGAGGAAGCAATTGAGACCCTCAGTATGACTTGAAGATGCTCATCAGTAAGTTTGGACCTGTACTTTGACTTATAAAAGTTCATGGTGCAGAAGAGCTTTTCACACAGATATGTGCTCCCAAAAAGGCACATGGTCCGCTTGAACATCCTGGAAAGCTCAGGGAAGGTGGGGGGCAATTCTCTCAAAAATTGTCCAAGCTTGTCTGCTTTTGCACTCACCTCCCTGAACTTGGCTTTGAGTTCAGAATTGCACTGCAGGTAAATTAGCTCCATTTGAAGCACAGGAGGGGCATCTTGCACATCGAAGGAGAAGGGGTCAGCAAAAATTTGAAAAGTGGCTCTGTGTGTCTTGAAGTCTGCAAACCTGTGATCAAATTCCTCCTGTAGCTTTACATTGGCATCAGCAATCTTCTCACCACTGAATGGTGTGCCCGCGTCCATGAGGCCTTGCATGCTGGGAAATGGCAGAGGTTTGTCTGAGAGAGCTGGGCTTTCCATAACACAAGTTTTGTGGAGAATGCTCTGACTTTGTCATAGGCAGCACTGACAAGCTGCCCCTGGCCTTGTAACTTCTCGTTCAGTACATTCAGCTCCTGTGTGATGTCAACAAGAAAAGCTAAGTCCATGAGCCATTTGGGATCACTTAGCACAGGAACAGCCATCCCATCCTTCTCCATGAAGGCTTTCACTTCTGCTCTCAACTAAAAAAACCTCTTCAAGACGTTTCCCCTGCTGAGCCAACGTACCTTGGTGAAGTAGAGCACATCCTCATCTGCTGACTCTATTTCCTCTAAAAAGGCGCAGAACTGCCGGTGCTTTAAGCCCCTGGATCTGATATGGTTGATGCATTTCACGACAGACATCACATTGTCAAACTTCAGGCATTTGCTGCAAAGGGCCTGCTGATGGATAATGCAGTGCAGCGCAATGGCCTCCTCCACACCCTCCTCTTCCAGTTTTCTTTGAACAAGTGCCACCAGTCCATTTCTCCTCCCTGTCATTGATGGCGCTCCGTCGGTTGTTATTCCAGCAAACCTCTTCCATGGTAAACCGGCATCCACAATGGCATCACACAGCTGGCGGAATATCTCCTGAGCGGTGGTCTGGCCATGCATTGGATTCACTGTGAGCAACTCTTCCATCATTTCAAAATTGTCGTCAACACCACGGACATACATTGCGAGCTGCGCAGTGTCAGTGATGTCTGTGCTCTCATCAAGAGCGACTGA